TCTTTAGGCCCAATATCAAGCTGGCTGTGAGTCATACCTGTCAGAACTCCTTTTGGCTCAGTGAATTATTATCTTCATAATAATTCACTCGACTCATCGATTGCGGACGTACTAGGCCACTACGCCATAGTCCCCAAACGATACAAGGGAATCCAATCCATTGGACATGTATATCCTTAGTTACCATATACCTATAGTCCCTCATCCATCTAATATCTCAAAGACCGTATACCGGGCATGGTACTATCAAACCCCTACGGTTTTTACTCAAGTCTCGCTTTAATCAGATTCTCTTGGAGAACCCTTTCTCTCTCAATATTAATGTCTTTGGCAGGGATTTGTCTGAGCAAGAATACATGGGACATTCCTCTTATGACACCGAGAGTATATGATCCTCTATCGACACTCAATAACCCTCGTAAGATTGACTACCACTCCCGATCCTCTATCGACACTCAATAACCCTCGTAAGATTGACTACCACTCCCGATGACCGGTTATAATAGATCTGGGACATCCAAACCTATAAGTCCAGTATCAACAAACTTCGGCAAACTCCCGACGAACTCTCGGCGAGCGCCCAACAAACTCTCGGCAAACTCCCGACGAACTCTCGGCGAGCTTCCGGCACATCATCTGAATTTTCGACGTATCGTCCGATCTTTGACTCCAGGCCAACATCTACTTTATGCATTCATTGCTATCGTAGTTAATCCTGCAACTCTTATCTCAATATATGGATTAGATCAATAATTTACCAATTGATTTCATCATCAAAATCTGAGATTCAACACTTTTTGCTTGAAATCTTGAATTTTGAGAACGATCTCTTATCTATAGTTTTCAAGTTAGTATTTTCTCTTCAGCTCCCTTTTTATTCTCTCTCATTTCCCAATCTTACTCTTCCCCTCACATTCTCTTTGCTTCTTCATATTTTCTCACCAAAAATATGTATTCCGTTTGAGTTTAAGTGTCACAAGTTTTACCTTCTTTTGTTCTAGTGGTTCATGAAAATCAAAAATTCTTTCCACTATATTAAGCCAATTGATAAAGTCATCAACATTGATTTTACCTTCTTTTGAATCTCAGATTTTGATGATAAAATCAATTGGTGAATTAATGATCTAATCTATGTGTTGAGATAAGTGATGCAGGACTAATTGTGATCATGAGAAAGGTAAAATGATTAAAGAAGAATCGAAGTTGGGCCGGAGTCAATGATCAGGTATCGTGCCCGATGAATCGGGGGATACACCAAAGGATTGGACGATGCCGTAAAAACTCACCAGAAGTTCGCTGGGATTTCACGCGAAAGCTCATCGTAAGTTCATCGGGTGTTCGCCGGAAGATCATCGCTAGTTTGTTGGAAGTTCACCAAGAGTTCGGTTGAACAATTGACGTACTAGATAACTTAGATTATGTATATCATAATTGTTTTAGCCTTAACTATCATAGTTAGGACTTTAATTTGAGTTAGTTTTAGGAAAAATCCTATTAACTCAATTAGGGGACAATTAGGCCTAAAATAGGGCTAAATTGGGCCGGTTGGATGGCTCATTCAGCCACTTGGAGCCACGTCAGGCGGTGGTACCACTGGCAGTTAATGCTGTCAATCGATGGTACCGCCAAAGCCTGATCTCTGAGGCTCTATCAAGCAATAGTATCACCCAAACTGAGTGTTGGTACCACCCAGTGTCAGTCTACATTGTTAGTCTGCATGTGGTGGTACTGCACAATAATGGTGGTAGTGTCGCTAATATCCCGAAAAACTAGGATGAGACACTTTTTGACTCTATTTTTGAAGCCACTGGGGCCTATAAATACCTCACTCTTTCTTGCATGAAAGAGCAACGAAAGTGTGAACAAAAGTCTTATGATTTTGGGATGTGAAAGTATTGAAAAAGTGCTAAGAGTCCTCCTCCTCCCTTTCTAATTTTGTGATCATTCAAGAGAAGTGTGAGACTTGTAAGGATTGTCTCCTAAACTCGTGAAAAGGAGAAAGAGTTGTAAGAGGGTGGTTGGTCTTCACCCATTGAAGGAAAACCTTTAGTAGACGCTGGTGGCCTCAACAAGAAGGAATCAGGAGTGGACATAGGTCACGACGACCGAACCACTATAAATCTGGTGTGATCTCTACTTTATCATTCCTATTCTGCTTTTTCTTCATATTGCTTATTAACTTGGCTGCTTACTCCCCTTCATACCTTCTTTACTATTAATGTATTTTCGATACGGGTTTAAATTGAAACAAAATTTTTGATTCAACGTAATATTTTCTCATAAGCACTAATTCACACCCCCACCCCACTCGCTCTCCCCCCCCCCCCCCCTCCTCTCTTATTGCTAACTTGATCCAAATAATCATGGAGTTTGAGAAAGATCTCTTGCCTATAATTGTCAGGTAAATATATTCTCTTCAGCTTCCTTTTAACTTTCTCCCATATCACGATCTTATTCTTCCTCTAACATTCTCTTTGTTTCTTCATATTTTCCCACCAAAATGATGCATTTCGTATGAGTTTTAGTGCCACAAGTTTTACTTCTTTTGTTCTGGTAGTTCATGAAAATTAAAAATTCTTTTTACTGTATTAAGACAATCGATAAAATCATCAATATTTATTTTACCTTCAAACTCTAGAATATCTAATCTTGGGTTGTATTTGTTCTGCCACTCATCTTAGACTCCATGTCTTGCCCAAAATCTTCTCGACTCTCTTGGATGTGGAGGTGTATCATCATCTGAAGTAAACTCTTGGACATCAATTTCATGCTAATTGTTTTTACTTTGAAGTTCTTCAATTATTTCAGTTTTTTTCTTGTAGACTACGCAACAATCTTCGTAGCTACAGCCTCAATGAATCAACATCATCTTCATGTCCATTACCTTCACCAACTATATCTTTTATATTCCGCCTTGCCATGATCTCTAACCTTTAGCTCTGATACCAAACTAATACCGGAAGGTAATGCAGAATAGATTTCAGAAGAAAGCCAATAGTAGGAAAGGAATGAACTTGTGATAAAACTTTAATAAGATTGAAAAGAAAGCTCACAACCAAGTTTAAAATCACAAAGGGATACAGAAAGATCAACACCCTAAGGATAATAAACATAGAAATAGAACTATAAACAAAAGACTCATCACTCAAGAGATATAGAGTTTAAGAGAGCACTCCAAGAGAGCTTATGCCAATATCATCAGTTTCTAAAGTTCTTTCTAACCTTTAAATACCAAAATAAGTGCTAATGCATGAATGCATAGGAAATTTTGAAATTAAGTATTTTACAGCAAGTAACTAACTTCTTTAATGCATTCCTGATCATGAAGAAAAGCACCTTGAAACAACAACTGTAACTTTATCCAAAGAATGTGCTCATGAGCTATCACATTTGAGTGGGCTGAGTTGAAAACTATGAGGCAATATTGTGAGTTAAAAAATATACCATAGCATCAGCAAGGTCCATATGAGCATATTGTAGCAAATTAGGCACTCCTGTGTCACAAGAGATACAAAGTTTAAGAGAGCACTCCAAGAGAGCTTTTGCTAATATCATCAGTTTCTAAAACTCTTTCTAACCTTAAAATATCAAAATAAGTATTAGTGTATGAAATAACCCTTCTGCATAAGGAATTACAAGATTAAGTTTTATACAATTGATAACTAACCCTTTTAATGCGTTCCTTAGTCATAAAGAAAGGTACATTGAAACAGTTTTAACTTTATGTAAGGAATATGCTCATGAGCTGTCATATTTAAGTAAGTTGAGTTGAAGACTATGAGGCAATATTATGGGTTGAAAAAAATATCATAGCGTCAGATTATAACAAATTATGCACTCCCGAGTTCTTTCTTTCCTTCTCTTGCCGATGTAATAGTGCCTTTGTGAGAGACTATGGATGGGGTTGATTTTATTATAGTTGCTGCTGTGTCTTTCGATGTCAAGGATAAAGACAAAGCACTGGGTTTGTATCGTAAAATTCCATTCTATCGTAGGCTGAAAGGAGGCTTTATTCTTCTTCTCATTTTCTTCTATTATTGCTCTTGGCCAAAAGGTTAATTAAAAAATAATATAAACCCACTTTAGATCTATGCTTAATTATTGAAAATTTACTTGCAATAGGACTACAAATCAGCTTCTAAAAATGTTAGGGAATTATTGTGGATCCATTCATTATTTTTAAATTTTGTAAATTCAATCGTTTTCTTCATTGGACTTTTTTTCTCAAATTCAACTAATACCATTTGCAAGTATAATTATTAAATGTCCATTTCGTGTAAAGAAAATCTTATATCATTTCCTTCTTATTTTATAGTAGTTGATAAATGAATGCATGCATTGTTTGTGCGAAAAAAAAACATCTATAAATAAAAATATATGATTGATTGCACCCTCTCAGTCACATACTTCACATTTGTTCGAGTAAAATACTTTAGTTGAAATGAATTGTTCAACCGTAAATATTTACGCCCTCTCATTCAAGTGCGCCCTCTTATTCAATTTCAGGACGCACCAATTTAACATTGTTTTCCACAGTTCATATCTAAAGCATCAGCCAACTCAAGATTGCACTACAGGAGACGTCATTAATACTCGATGTCATTGAAAAGAAAAAAACCACTAGATGTTAGGGCAAGACACAGGACTTGTCCAAGATTATATAGAAAGAGATATGATGGTATTTGGCACATCTACATATCAACGATTGAATCGATTCTAGAACTTTAAACAAAATAGTAAATGAAGGAAAGAAGCATTTCACACATGGTCGTTTGAGAAAAGTCTTGAGAATCAACAAGAGGAACCTTGAAGTATGGCAAGGACCTTCATTAGTTTGCAGACATTGTAGCAATTCAACACTGCAAATATCTAACCTTTACATGCTCGAGGTGCCAATAAACTACACCACCAGTGTTTTTTAAAAAAATGAGAAGAAATTTCCATTACACTCAAACTTGTCGTCCAATGAGAGTCCTAGGATATCTCAACAGAGACCACGACCACCACAGTTGGAACAACATCAAAATACCACCCAGTTACAGCATACTACACTATACAACGGTATGTTTCATGATGCCCAGTGAGCTCTCCATTGTACGTGACCTTCACAACCTGTCCCTTCTCAAACCCATAGTATCGAGCAACTGCATCACTCTTGAGCATGCGAGGCAACTGCAAAACCAATATCCATACAATTGTTGTGAATTAAAGACAAGAATTTTGATGCTATGAAGGGAGCCATTGGTTGAAAACAAACTGTTTGATCATATCCAAGGGCTAGAGCAAACCTTAACCAAATTATTGATGATAAGAAAAAACTAAATAACCCACTTTGAGTCCAGATATATGTCACCATTCTCTTATATTTGCAGTCCGCTTTTTGCTCGTCCAAAGACCAAACACATTGGCATGATATGACAGAATTACCAACATTTTTAACAGTTTCTTAAAAATGAAAAATTTCTCGATCTAGCATTATACAGACAGAAGCAGGAAAATACATCAATACATCATAGGATACCACAATCTAACATTATACAAACAGAAGGAGAAACACACATCATAGGGTACCACATAATCTAGTGAATGAAATGAATGTATCATTGTCTGACACTTATGGAGACCTAGTATTCCCTGGCACTTTGCGCAATGAAAATCAACTCTAAGCTTCATTGGAATTGAAATAAAACACCAGTCTGACAGCAAAAGAATCTGTACGGGTCACCACCAATCCCACCAGTTGACCATGTCCAATACCATATCCTTTCTATATGCTTTACAATTATAAAAAATACAAAAACCAAAGTAGAAACCAGTTCCTAGATCACTAACTTGTCTTAATCAGAAAATATAATCACCAATCTAGAGAGCAGTCATCTTGATCGCTCAGAAAACATATTTTCTTTAGCAAGGAACATAGATAGTCAAGAGTCTTACCCTAAGGTTATTGCTATGGAAAAAAAGAGTTATTCATTTTAATTCATCAATATAAGCCTCATTCGTTTTAATTCATCAATATAAGACTTATCATCTATAATTTATTTGATAAAAGATTTCCTCTCACCAATTACTACAAAAATATACCTTTAAAAGTTATGTTTTAGAGAACATAACCAAAATCTAGCTATATGTCCTAATACAGTACCTGTGCCTCCACCTCAACTACCTCACCGTCGTCATCGATTCATCTGCTGCATGATTTCCCACTTCCTTTCCTGCAACTGACCACATTTGAATTTCATTTGGTGTATAATCAATTCCTTCATGAGTAGCCTTAGCTGCAAAGGTGTGCTAGCTTACTCTTAAGATCAGGGACGTGACTGTTAAGAGTCTTACTCTTAAGGTTTTTGCTATGGAAAAAAAGAGATTCATTTTAATTCATCAATATAAGACTTATCATCTCTAATTTATTTGGTAAAAGATTTCATCTCACCAAATAGTACAAAAATATACCTTTAAAATTTATGTTTCAGAGAACATAACTAAAATCTATCTATATGTCCTATACAATACCTGCCCCTCCACCTCAACTATCTCACTGTCGTCCTTGACTCTTGACTCATCTGTTGCATGATTGCTTCATGAGTAGCCTTAGTTCCAAAGCTGTGTTAGCTTACTCTTAAGATCAGGGATGTGACAATTAAGAGTTGTGGCTTTTCTAGTCTCTTTTTTCTAGGTAGGTGGTCTTATTCTCAGGATTTATCTCAACACATTTTATATGTTAACCAGAAAGCACCTGTGTACTCTGCCACTATGCTTCTACATGTTTTAATATAAACAACTTGTTGAAACATTAACTAGTTAAAGTCTATAATATCATCTATATAGCAAAAGACATACTCCTCGTGTAGAGCATCCAGCTCATAACCTATTTATAGGTTCTTTCAGTTTAAATTAGTTCCATAACTTCAGGTGTTTATCTTTTGAAGATTAACCCTTTAGGTACAATTTCCAACATGATATATGTTTCAGTTACCAGACACAGGTTGGTCCCAGCAACATCGGTACATGTCTGGGACATCATGCCAGTGTACCGACACATGGTATACAGTGTTGGGAGGCATGTGCCGCAGTCCGTGCTACAGACCCGATAGGCCATCGGACTGGTATGTAACAGTCCAGGCAAAACATAGAACCATGGAATCCAAATAATTATAGTCTTTCAGTACAGTGTCCAATCATTATTCCATTTAATGTTTTAGCTCAGATCTACTAGTTACTCATGAGCATTTATCAAGACACTGCCTACATATTCTCTTTTCTCATATACGATTAGACACGAAATTAAATGTATCCAAATTCCTAATCTAAATAGACACATTATTACAAAGAAACACTACTTTAAAAATTTACTAGCCTCCCCCAAGTATAAGGTAGAGGACTTACCTTTCAAATGCTTGTAGGAAAAATGCCACACAGACTTGAAACTCAAAAAATAAAAGAACTTTTGAATCAATATTGATATATGCTCATTATATCCTGGTTCAAGATGCCTTCAGCTATTGAAATCCTTACCTAATCTATTTTGGACTCATTTTTCCACTTGTGGAATTTAGCAATGATTAAACAGAATCCTATTGATCGTTGAAAAAATTGTTTCGGTTTCTTGATCTTAAAATGAATCAACTTCATACCTGAACTCTTACAGAACAAACAAACTGAATGCAAGATGTTCAATAGTTCACTACAAAACACTACAAACTGATTCAATAATGTAATCAAAATGTGATCATTTTCAATTGTCACGATAATAATTTTCAATTATCATTGCTATAAATAAAAACTGTGACAATTTTCAATTATCACAATGAAATCAAAGTTATACATAAAAATCAGTACAACTTGATTCAACAATTTCAAATTTATTGACCTAGTTCTCACTTCTCAAAGCATATATCCTTCCAAAACATTAACCAGGACTGATAGTATAACATCTGATGCTACAATAACTGTGGCTCCTGCCTCAAGTGAGCCTAGCCTAGATGACAGGCGACAATTTGAGAGCTTCAAGCTGCGGTGTACCAATCAAATTAAACTACCTGATTTGAGCATTAATGGGATGTGATGGTTGTCACTAACTTGCCTGTGAACCTATTTAATGACCCTGGTCCCTCTTCCATTACATCTGAGAGCAAAGTGTTTGATGACCCCATCTCACCTAACCAATGTGATGGTGGGAGACCTGGGCAAGGCACCAATGGTGGAAGACTTGCTGATAATGAAGGTTCTTAAGGATTCCTAGGATCAAATTGTTCTGCTTGAACCTTTTGCATAGTCACCTTCCTATTTCCAGTAGATTGTTTCAAAGTGGAGTTAGTAGCACCTTTGTTTGTCCTTTGTGTTGCATGGAGCAAGAGCCTATTTATCACTGCTACTTCTTCTGCCCTTTCTCAGCTTATCTTTGGTAACTTTTTCAACTCAGATTGGGTGTTCAACTTTCTCATTTTAAAAACCACATATTGGTAAATGGCTGGATGAGGCAGATTGGTGCCCCTACCAGTAGGAACCTTAGGACCACGACATGGGACTGTTTTCAAACTTTGAATCAAGAGAAGTCAAGATAATCACATTAATTTCTTTAGTTTCCAAAGAGTCATGAATATTCATTTCACAATAATTCCAAGATGAATTCTGAGATATTTATGGTATGAATTATACATCATTTAAAAGCTTATTAAATTAGGAATCAAACGCATTTTACAAAATGCGATTTGGAACTTTTTTAGAGAAAGTTATGCTCCATTCTCTCTGCAAAGGTCCTGATGGGTTCTCTACCAAGATTGGAAGAAGGTTCTTCTCACCTTTTCAAGTCCCTTGATGACTTTTAGTTATTCTATAGCTCTTTAATTAGTTTTTATTTATTTTAAATCTTAAAAGTGGTGGAGAAGTTAATCACCATCACTATACATACCTCATGATTGTAAATCTTGAAGACATAGAGTGTTTTGAATACAAGTTGTGTTTCTCGAGGTGTTCTCTTTGGTGGATTCCTTAGAGCGATGAGTTCTTAAACCCTATATCCCTAGTTAAAATAGTTTGGAAGTGTTAAAGGTGTTCTTAAGATTGAAGTCAAATCAAAATCAAAATCACAATTGAGCCTTCGAGCTCTCCTCATTCCAAAGAAAAAGATGGATCATGACAAGTGTGTAGAAAGCATAGCTATAAATAAGATTACTATTGACTATCGGTTTCCTATTCCTCGTATAGATGATCATCTTGACCAACTTGAAGAGGTAACTATATTCTCCAATATTGATCTTTGCAGTGGCGATCATGAAATCTGTACAAGACCCAAAAATGAATAAAAAACAACATTCAAATAAGGGATGGTCTCTATGAATAGATGGTAATGCCATTTGATCTCTCAAATGCTCCTAATACATTTTTGTGCCTCATAAATCATATTTTTTGAACATCTTATTGAAAAATTTGTTATCATATACATTGATGATATTCTTATCTATAACAATAATGAGGAGCAACATCTGCAACATCTTCGTAAGGTTTTTATTACTTTGTGAAAGCTAACATGAAGAAATATAAATATTGAGTGATAACCTCATTTTTTTAGGCTATATTATATCTATAGATGAAATCAAGATAGATCCTAGCAAAGTGGAAGCTATACTGAAATCCAGAGCTTTCATATCTCTTTTTATCATTCATGGTCTGATCTCTTTTTATCGATGATCTATAAAAGGATTCAATTCTATTGTGGCTCTAATCACAAATATGCTTGAAAGGAGATGCTTTCAAATGGACAAATAAGGTCCAAAAGAGCTTTGAGATTCTAAAAAGCAAGGTAACTGAAGCTCCTATCCTAATACTCCCAAATTTTGATGAAGTTTTCGAAGTTGAATGTGATTCTTTGGGAATTGGCATTGTTTGTAGTCAAGAAGTAAACTAATTACTCTCTTTAGTGAAAAGTTGAGAATTAATGGAGCTTTAAATTATTGGAATCATTACCTACTTCCAAAACTATTTGTGCTTTACTCTGATTATGAAGCTTTGAAATACATCAATAGTCAGCAATATGCTACATGAGTTGAGTTTTTCCAAGCCTATAATTTTACTATCAAGAATAAGTTTGGTATTGAAAATATTATTGTTGATGTCCTTAAGCAGAAAATACTCCTTAATTGCAAGTAAACATTGTGGGGTCTGAAATCCTAAGAGAGCTTTATAAATATATCCTTATTTCAAGGAAATTTGGAAAAAGTGTGAAAGTGGCAATCATAATCATTCCTACTTCGCGATGGTTATCTTTTCAGGATTAATCGTCTTTGCATTCCTCAATGTTCTTTAAGAGAATCTATCATTAAGGAAGCTCATGCTAGTGGGTTAGGTGGTCACTTTGGAAGAGACAAATTTTGAACGCTTGTGCAGGAAAATCTTTATTGGCCAAAAATGGACAAAGATGTAAGATGGTACATGGAACGTCATAAAATTTGTCAAATTGAAAAAGTCATAAGCAAAATTCATGGTAATGCTCCTTAGGAGGATGTTAGCCAGAATTTTGTTGTAGGTTTACCCAAAATCCAGAGGAACAAAGTATCAATTATGGTTGTCATGGATCAGTTTTCTAAAATGACACATTTTATTCCTTGCAATAAGACATTGGATGCATCTAATATTGCTAACTTATATTTTTGTGAAATTGTGAATCTCCATGGTATTCCTAAATACACTGTTTCTGACATAGATTCAAAATTCTTGAGCCATTTTTTGCATACTCTTTGGAGGAAATTGGGAACGAATCTTTTCAATTCATCTTACCATCCATAACTTGATGATCAAACTGAAGTTTTCAATCAAAGTTTGAGAATTTTTAAGAAGCTATAGGGTAAAAACATTCATCAGTGGGATCTTCTTTTGGCTCACCTAGGACTTTCTCCACTATTGCACAATTATAAATCCAAGGGATTAGCACAGCCTTTAAGTATTGGAAGCATCAGCCCTTCCATCCTACAGCTGGCCCTAGCCATGAGAAGAGAACAGGAGAGATTCCATCGAGTTCAAGCTTACGGCTGCAGATCCTCCTTCCTCTGGTTCTAGAGGCCGAAACTCTTCTTCATGCTTCATCTGACATCTTCAGCAACTTCTACCTTCTGCCGCAACCTCATCAGCAGTGTAGAACAAGAAGACCGAAACCGGTAGTAATTTTGCTGAGAGTAACTAGTTTATTGTCAAGTACAGCATGTTCTTGTAGCACAAGTCATCTTTCATCGTTCTTTTAGTCTTTGCTTAGTCCTTTGTATTTTGTAGTAGGCACTTTTAATTCAAAACAATAGAGTTCTTTTTGGTTTTACACTTTTTCTACAGTGAGCTTTCACTCCACCACAAAACAACATACGACCCATGTTTAGCTTGAACTCGAGTCCAAACCTCATATGGATTAGGTGGTATCAGAGCTATGATCCTTGGCCTATGGATGGTTACCATGAGGCAAGGATACGAGGTGTCAAGTGAAGAGCTATAAGAGTTGGAGTTCAAACCTCAATCACCGACGAAAAAAGATGACGACGGGATGGCAACCAATAATTCAGCACCTTCGACTGACCTTGCTGCCCAAATCGCAATCTTATCGCAATATAGGGAGAACATGATGGGTTGGATATGAGCCCAAACCAACAATAAAGTCTTGGTCATTCCGAGTCGAGGCTTGCATCGACAAACCCTTCTATGACGACTCATTAACATCGAGGTATTGGATGCATAGTTGGATCAACTTGACACCTATTTTGAACTCTATGGTTACAATAGTGAAGATAAAGTCACATTTGTTCAATTCGAGTTGACGGGTGATGCACTTGCTTAGCGGAACACATACCTTCAAATACCTATGGCATTGAAGAAGTAACACGGGCACAATTCAAAAGGCTTCTTCGTTAAGAATTCTACCTGATGGGGTATATTAAAGATCAATGACGGAAGTGCACTACTTATGCCAAGGTCAGGATCAATGAAAGAGTATACCACCAAATTCTGATGACAAGCAATAACACTCAAGGTTTCTCTCTAGGATCACCCGACGATAATGAAGTATACCTCTGGTCTTCATGCACTAATTAATATTTAGTTGAGCCTTTTCAAAGTTTATGATATCATGAACACAAGTGTGATGGCGATGACAATTGAGAAAAAGAACCAATTCCACAACGAGAAAAATGCAAAGAAGGCCAAAGGAGGTCACCCGAAGGTCAAGAAGAATACTGGGAATGGTAAAACCTCTTCTTCTCAAAGAAGAGCGATCTATTTTGTGAGCATGGAAGAATTGCAAGTCACAATAGGGAGAAGTGTTGGAAGGTTCACCCCAAACTCTTCCTAAATAAGTGGAAGAAGAACGATTAAAGTCGACGAACGACAACTGCAACCATCAATTATGACTTAACTGAACTTGCACCGGTTTAACATCTAGATCCGAGTCTATCACTGATGGCTAGACTAAAGGTTATAGACTCAGATCCAACCCCTGGTCCAAAGGTTCGAGAAGTAGCCCAAAGTATCCACAACTCTTCACTAAAACCAATGGGCTTCGTCCTAGATATGCGATTGAGCACAAAATTCAACTTATCTTCGATGCACCTTTGTCAAATCTTAATATGTATCAGAATTCAATTTTGGTGAACAAAGAAATTCATGGATTTTTTTTTCAAGAAATAATTTAAACTAAAGTCAACTCCATGATATTCTAAGATATTATGGATATTCTAGCTCGGGCAAGGTAATATGATATAATAAGGCAAATCACCTTTAATCTAAAAAATAAAAACCATGACAATTTCATAACAAAGAAACAACCAAAAAAGGGTGTGTCCCTTTTTTGGAACCTAAGTTGGAACCATCATTTGCTCTCTACCTGGATGTCCTCCACATTATACTTTGCTATGAGCTTTTCTTTCTCTTCTGCAGCAAGTAAGACATGCCTTGGTTTCAAAACGTGCTTTGTGATATTGACCAGCAATTCTGTTATCTGATATTGAAAAGCAAATTAAGCATCAGGAAGAAAACAACAGAAATTTCTTAAGTGTACTTTAAATTGTAAGAGGCAAAATAAAGAAACAAAAATGAATAAGGATGGCCATTGAACGAGTTTTTTATTAAGCTGAGTTGGTTTCATATAAATATAACATGTTAGCACTTAGTTTGGAGACTGTGGACCTTGATTTATGAAAGCATTACAGTAACCTTTTACTATAAATATGAAATTTTTATATAACTAATACATAATTTTTCTGCAGACATCAGCAAAAGATCCAGATCTACTTTTACTCTTAACAACTAATGTCTAATAAGGATTAATAGTCCAAATTATGTTATAATTGAAACACAAAATAAACATTGGAAGTTCTGACTTGCAATTTCTTCAATGAAATGCAATAAATATGTCTCTGTTCCAAAATAAAATATATGAAATTCTAATTAAATAGTTAACGACGAATGCTCACAAGCTAAGTATCTGTATTATTGTTGACAGCAGAAAAGCAAGTACATACATGTTGGTATATCTAGATAAATTAATATTTTGAGCTTTTCCCAAAGAAAGGGATCAAATAAAAATCATAAAGAAGTCATAAATTTTGAGCAGTGGAGAGTACTTGAAATATCTCCAGTCTGAATTTGAAAATCTCTTCAGTAAGTTCTCGAGCTTTGGATGTCATTTTACTTTGTAACACTAATATTAACCCAGTCAAGTGTTCTTTGCTAACCCAGCTGTATATTTCACGCACAGTTGACAACTTGAAAGGTTCAATTCCACAGAAGATGACAAGAAGCTGAAGAAGAAAATTTGTTAAGTCGAAACGAAGTCATTTCCATACCAAAAGATGCAGAATTTTAATAAAAGAAAAACAAAAAAGGACATTTCCATATCAGGAACAAACAGAAGCTGTTTACTGCCGCAAACAGTTGCTTACACAGCAGTGAATATACATCTCTTTACTGCATCCATGCCTTTGGCAGCTGTTTACTGCTGCAAACAGTTGTTTACACAGCAGTAAATATTTACATAGCAGTAATAGACAGCTGTTCACTGCATTCGTGGCTCGACTGCAGCAGATGCCATAACCTTTGTCATAGCCACACCATGATGGAAAACCATCAGGCATTATAAAGGATTTTCGAAAAACTTATTCTAGGTAAAGAAATCAACAAAAAATCATCAATTAGTTGGCCTAGAATATCTAAAAATTGTGCTGAAAATTGATATATCTTTTGGTCTTTCTAGGTGCTAACCTAGGAACTCCTTTAGCATTAAGTGCACTTTTGTATTCTAAAAGACATACATGTTTTCTAGATGATTACTCTTGGGAATCATTGCCTGCATTTGATTGTATAAAGGCTCCTAAATGCCTATAAATACTGAGGCTTATCAATGAATCAAACACTTCAGAATCGAGTCTTTTACACTCCTCTCTTGCTATCTTGCTTTCTTGCTTTCTCTCAACTTCTCTTTTCTCTCTATTTTGTTCTACATCAATTTGGTATCAAAACCATCAAGAAACCTGCCTTGTAACCAATTGGATTCCAACTAGCAACAAAAACTTTAATCAACACTCAAGGATCTTCGCACCTCCAACGTCAACCCCTTGCAAGTGGAGTTGGACTTAGGGGTGACTATCCCTTCGAAATTGGTGGACTTAGCTCTCGATACCTGATAACTTTTTCGAAAACTTCACCAATATTTTTGTCGAAAAGAAAAATCATATATTTATTTATATCATGGTTTTCATTGCTTCTCCCCTCGTTTCTCCTTTTTTCTTTTTAATCATCCTCTCTCTCTCTCTCTCTCTCTCTCTCTCTCTCCTTTAGCTACAACTATAGTACCACTAAAATTTAAACCTTTGAAAGTTGTCCAAAGAAAGACAAAAATTGAGAAAAAAGAAGTGAGAACCATTTAAAACATTACATTTCTACCTTGTGCATTGCAATAATTAACAACCTCATTACCAAAAGACAAATTGTTGATAGCATTAGAATCATGACTAAGCAAGATGAAAACCAAACCAATTTTGATGAATCCCTAAACCAACAGAGTGAGGTAAACACCCATGGGACCAATTTTGATGAATCCCTAAACTAACAAAGTGAGACAGACACCCATAGGACCAAACTAGTAGATCATAACACAATGTTGAACTAGTTATGTGACTAAATGACCCAAGTCCTAAGAGTTCCCCAACACCTTGAAAAACAGCCTATGAGTGAGGAGGTTGATGAGTTGGTGAACACGTTCATTCACCACAATCCATAACTTCAAATCAAAGAATTTTGCCCACCCTCCAAGCTCGATTTCAAACCTATTCATAAGCATGCTCCAACAATTCCTGAGGACCAAACTTTTGATCTTAATGATGAATTTCTAGAACCTACTAGAAATCCACAAACCCGAGTAATGAGCCAACGAGTTTGGTTTGCTGACAATCTAGCGAAAATGGCTAGGAGTCAAAGTGAATATTGTTAGGATCCCTTTATTTTTTGAGCTTTTGAATAATATTTCATTGAGTTTGTTTAGTTCGATAAGAGTCGGATAGGGGTTTATTTAATATTTATTTATTATTATTAAGAGTTTAAGTCCTAGTGGACTTTGGGTGAAACTCTATAAATAGGGATGTATCTGTTCCTTTTAACCTATCAATGAAATTTATCCAGTCTTTTGACAAACCCTAGGAGGCCGATCCCCTCGAAGCAATCATCCCTTTTCTCCCTCTTCTTCTACGATAAAACCCTAGGGGTCTTCTCATTTGGTATCAAAGCAACGATCTTCGACGTTCCCGCTGTAATTTCCCATATCACTTCATTGTCTCAACCATCATCAGCTCAAAAAAAAAAAAAAAGTTGCAGCCCGCGACCATGCCCCATCCCGCTCAAGCGAGAAAGGGGGGCCTCATCCCACCTTTAGCCACAATCATCCTCAGTCGCACCTTCGCCGAAGACAATGCTGCTAGCATCCCATCCCGCCGCAGTCGTGTGACCGCTTCCCAGCCCTCAGCAACCGTTGTTTCTCATTGCTCCTAACCCTCGGCATTTTCTCCCCTTAGTCGCGCCTCATACCGTCGCTACTTCTCGACTAGCGATCACCGTCGCCGCTGCTTCTAAGCTAGCGATCACCACCGTCGTTGCTTCCTGGCCAGAGTCCACCGTCGCCCACCTCCCAATCGGAACCCTCGCTGCCTCCCCTTGGGTCACAACCGCTCACGACAACATTTTCACTCCTCAATCGCGCCTCATCCCGCCGTTGCTTCCCGGCCAGCGATCACCGGCATCGTTGCTTCCCGGCCAGTGATCATCGCCGCTACTGCTTCCTGGCCAGAGTCCACCGTCGCCCACCTCCCAATCGGAACCCTCACTGCCTCCCCTTGGGTCGTAGCCGCAACCGCTCAACTATCCCTCCTCACAACGATCGAAACAAGACAACCACGATCGTCGTAACCACCGCAGTTGTCGTTGTTTCCTTCCCTCTTCACTATCGGCATCGACAGCAACCGCTTCCCAGCCACGCCCTCAACACTGTCTCGGTCGACGCCTGCTTCCCAACCACAACCCTCGCTGCCTCCCCTTGGGTCCCAACCGCAGCCGCTCGCGCGACGCTTTTGCCTCCAACCGCGCTGTGCAGCAACCGCATCGAGCCCTCACACTACTCTCGGCATCCGCTTCCTCAGCTACCTCGCAACGATCCCTCACGTCCTCAACGCCACTCCCAGCCGCGCCACCACCGCTGCCTCCTAGCCTCGGTAGGAGTGTCCTCGCAACGACTGATTCCTCACGCCCTCAACACAAGCTTCACAACAACTGCACTGAATAGGACATTGCTGATGCCCTTGACTAAACAACAAAAACAAGAGTCGGGGATTACAAATCTACAGTCCTATGCAATGGCTACCAATAATTCAGTAAAAGCTCAACTGGAAGCCTTGGAAACCAGAATTGAGAACCAACCAGTGTTTGCCATACCGAATCATATCACCCGGTACGGGTGGTACGTACCGGTCCGACAGGCCAGCGGTACGTGAACCGCCCGGTACCGGTCCGCACTGTAGCACTGTAGCAGTGCTACAGTGCTCGATACACCTGGGTGTACCGCTCAGTACACCGTACCGTACCGGTACCGAGCCCAGGTCGAAATACCGATACGGTACGGTATTACGAACCTTGGAACCAACTACAAGAAACACTTAATGATTTCAAAAAGAGCCTACTAGAGAGCTTCAGCAAGATTTAACAAGATGAAAGTTCAAGTCTTATATTGAACCAATCTAGAGACACAGGAAAAAGGAACCAAGAACAGAACACAAGCTACCAACGCATGAAGGTGGAATTTCCAAGATGAGAAGATGGAGATCCGACCAGTTGGATCTCCAGGGCAAAAAAAAATTTCTATTTTCACAGAACTCCAGAAGAATCGAAGGTAGAAATAGCCTCAATCGAGCTAGATGGAGATACAATCCAATTGTATAATTAGTACGAAACTTGCCATGGGGTTCCCTCGTGGGAGCAATTCAAGAGAGGACTTCTTATTCGCTTTGAACCATCTGAATACGAGAATGTTAATGGGCAGCTCGCCAAAGCTAACCATCTGAATAATTGTCTCATTAAACCAGTTGGGGAGGAACCGAAAGCTAACCATGTGGACTCCGATCATGAAGGTATGGATTCTGATGAAGATGTTGGATCTATCATACATACAGTGCATGCATTAGCCGGCTACTCTAACCCGCAAACTATGAAAGTTAGAGGAACTTTGGAACATCAGCATGTTACAGTTTTGATTGAAACTACTGGTAGCACTAACAATTTTATATACAGTAAGGTTGCTGACCGATTGGCCTACCACATTGAAGGTTGTAACAAATTCGAAGTAAAGATCGCTGATGGACAAATTTTAACTTGTGATAGCAAATGTTCAAAAATAAAGTTGATTATATAGGACCAAGAGTTACTTGTGGACTTCTTTTTGCTACCCTTGGAAGACTTCGAAGTGGTGCTTGGAATTGAATGGCTATCAACCATGGGTGATGTTTCTTAGAATTTTTCCAAACTAATCATGAAGTTTTTTATTAATGGAAAGCAGGTGATCATAAAGGGAAGACGTGGAAGGTCACAACTGCCACTAGCCATCGAATGAATAGGGTTCTTCAGAAGACTACAACGACAACTACACCAAAAGATCGACCTATTGCTTACACTATTAAGAAGTGGAGACCGTACTTGATCAACGGCTTGTGATGCGCCACAGATACCCTGTAACTAAAGTGCTGAAAGAGAAACTCCCCGAGTTTGATGCTGCTCAGCCTTGAGGACAAGGCTGATTTGAAGGGAGAGGAATTGTTAGGATCCTTTTATTTTCTGAGCTTTTAAATAATGTTTTGTTGAGTTTGTTTAGTTCGGTAAAAGTCGGATAAGGGTTTATTTAATATTTATTTATTATTATTAAGAATCCAAGTCTTGGTGAACACTAAGTGGAACTCTATAAATACGAATGTATCTGTTTCTTTTAATCTATCAATGAAATATTATCTAGTCTTTTGACAAACCCTAGGAGGCCGATCCCCTCGAAGTAATCAAGGAAGCCGATCCCCTCGAAGCGATCATCCATTTTCTCCCTCTTCTTCTACGATAAAACCCTAGGGGTCTTATCAAATATATTGAACATGTACGATTCGTAAAATTAAAACCGATAAGGTCAGCAAGGAAATATTAGCAACATGTTCAACGTAGTCTCGAGCACCATTGAGAGCCTCTCATCACTCAATGAGAAGTCATGAAACAAAAACTT